ACCGCAGTATTTGAAGCTTCTATTTGACTCTCAGATATGAAGTGCACCCCACCCCACTAATTTACTAGTTTGCAGAATTTTTTCCTAAGCTGTCCCTATCAGCGGCAGCATCCTCTCCCTACACTAATAAGACCGCATGTGTGTGCGGCGCAACGCGACTCCAGCTTATATATAGAGGCTGGGTCACATGCTGCACTGGCCAATCACAGCCATGCCATTAGTAGGCATGGCTGTGATGGCTTCTAAGGGCACACGAGTCAAACACTTGTTGATTAGCTGCCATGCAGCCTTTGAAAACGCGCCATTAAATCGCCGAACACCAAACGCCGACCCGAACATACAGTGATATGTCCGTGTTCGGGTCCGGGGTCCAAAAAACCTAATGCTTGGAACGCATCCGAACTTTTCCGTTCGGGTTCACTCAACTCTACTGTCTGTGTAGGAGCGCTAAACAGTTAAGCATCTATAGGCAGTCACTTATACTGCCTGCAGACAACCCAAATTCTGTATCTACTTGGGTATATTGTGCCTGAGAAGACACATGTCTGTCTCTGTATAGAGATTTCTGTTACTTTTGGACATTAAATTCATACCTTATATTTGCAAAATATGGAGAGACAGTAATACAATTTAATTTTTGTTGCCATAATTGACACTCAATGTGATTTAAAAAGGATGCGTCTAACCTTTCAACAAAAGACATTGAAGGAGAGGTATAGTATCACGGAGGAATTGTGTTTGGGTGGATTCCTGCTAATTGTAGCTTTTGAATATCCTGCAATCCTTTGGCAATTAAAGTAATTTATGCTTTGTAGTTATCAGTGAACATATTCACAGCAGCAAGCACCCATAAAGCTTTCATTAGTCTTTCTTTCAAAGTAGCTGCCATGCATTTCAATTTAGAACCTTCAGTTGCCTATGTAACCCGTGGCACGTCCTTTCTGAGCTGATTTTTTTCTAAGGCAATAAAATGGAGTGTGCACACAATTAAATCAAGTCTTTATTAGCTGCTAATCACCCTGTACCACATATTTAACCTTTTTTTATTATATCCCAAAAACAGGATGCATTGCAAAAACAAATAATAGTAATAAACATTAACCATGGCACAAATACTGCAGACAAGAAGACTATGGAATAAATTTATATTTCATGCCATTAAATACACATATCATTTTAATAGTCAGAATATTGCTGTGGATGTAAACTAATTAAGCATGCTTTAATCATGCTTTCCTGAACTGAAAGAACACCAGTACAAATTACAAAACAATCACAGAACCAAGATACACACAGACAAAAGCAGAATTCCATATTTGTTGCTTGTAATCCAGTTATCTGTAATGCAACCTATGATACCAATCGAAATAGATAAAAAGATGGGATCCAGACAGTGGAGTGTGACTTTCATTTTTGATTTACTGAATGAGAATTAGCCGAGTGTCCTTTGAGTGCCAAGGATTGCAAGGTTTGCATTTGAGAACACATCTTGAGTCTCTCTACGTACGGAATGTTTTCATCCACTATGGACATTTATTTTCTGTTTCCTCAAGTGCCATGAAATTTGGACCATGAGATCTGTGCCTGTGGTGACACATATCTATTCTTTCCTGCCTTCCTTGCAGGAACAATATTTTAATTCCTGTGGAAAATGGATATAAGCCGTGAAGAAGAACTATGTAAGGCATTGCTACCAACATCATACTAGAGCAGTGGTTCCCAACCCAGTCCTCAAGTAGCCCCTAACAGTCCAGGATTTAGGGATTACCCCCTTGTGTCTAAGGTGTTTTTAGAAAAAGAAAAAAAAACACATTAGACACAGCAGGGTAATCCCTAAATCCTGGACTGTTAGGGGGTACTTGAGGACTTGGTTGGGAACCCCTGTACTAGAGCAAGGTGTCATGGCACCTGCTAGGCACGCTCCGCATGGCCGGACTGTCATCCTGTGTTCTTCCTGATGCCGCCCGCTGTGTATCAGAATCCTTATATGGCTCTGCCTTCCCTAACCCGATTAGTGATGTGCGTGTGTGTAATCATGCAGACATTGCGCATGCACATTTTGGCATCACATGACCACTATTAACCAATTACTACCCACCTAGGGCCATATAAGCTCATTTTGGCCATAATGCTGTGCCCTGTCATGGTTTCCCTAAGCGGTTATCAAAGAGCATGTTTATTATAATTGTATCTAATTTATCTGACTGTGGCTTGTATTTTGACCAATCTACATTCTATTATCCTTGTATTTTGGCTTGTCTAAACGTTTACATACTCTCTGTCTCCCTGACCTTGCTTGGTATGTCTTGTACTATTCTATATAGTGTTAAGTCTGGGAATGAACTTTAGTATTCTGTTTTATTATTGTCTGTATTTGTTAATTTAAGTTCTACGTGTTGGGTTGTAGTTTATGCTGACACAAGGATTGCAATCGTCAAACATTTCTCTAAAAATTAGGTATTATGTCTTAACAGGAACTCTTTATTTTGATCTATAGTCTGTTCTGTCTCTAGGACAGAGAGCTAAACCTCCCTGCTCCATAAACCTCAGATACCATATTTCTTTGATCTCAAATTTATTAGAACAAACCAGGTGAAAATGTTAAGCTCTCTAAGGGGTGATGGTTAGAGATGAGAAGTACAGGACTTGCTGTTTACTGTATCTTCCCAAAATGGAGGTTGATACACTTCCTGTAAAAGGTTCTGTCCATAATGCTGTGCTTTCTAACAACTTTATTTAAACATACTATTCTAAACAACAAAGCACAAATATAATGAATAAAGTCTGGAGGACAGAACATAGTCCATAAAACTATGTTCATTAGAAATATATAAAGGGTCAAAAAATTGTAACTTTGTCAATTGAATGTGTCTCCAGTGGTATAAAACAAGCACCAGATTTTAGGCAACTGCCCACAATAAGTAAATTTAATTAACCTAGTGCAACTGATACCTGACACCTGGAAGAGTCTAATTAGTTTAATGCATAATTCATTTTAATGGTAAAGATATTGCATTTAAAGAGTGGATTGTCAAACAACAATATAATTTAAAGCCCTAACAAAAAAGATGCTGTAGCAGATTCAATATATTCCTTTTTTTTTTGGTGATGGGATAATATTAAAGGAAGACCCAAAGTATAAAAGCCTCTACATCTTAATATAGTAGTTTTGGGGCCGTTTTTGTTTAAAAATGTAAACCTGCAGTTTCTAAGAAATAAAAGAGGTTACATTTTGCCAAATACATGTTTCTAGTGGCTGTCAAGCAAGCAACAACTAGAACCACTTCCTCCTTAAGTTCCTTAGACTGTCAATGATCTCCATGTTCAGCTTGACTAGGCACATCACAACAACATAGTTACATAGGCTGAAAAGAGACATGCGTCCATAAAGTTCAGCTTTTCTCACATGTTTTTACTGCTGATCCAAAAGAAGGCAAAAAACCCAGTCTTTCCAGTATTGCAATAAACCAGGAAAAAAAATCCTACTTGAGAAGAGAATGGCAGTAAGATCTCTCTTTGGATCAAGAAGCTATTACCCCACATATTACGTTTTTAGAAGTATTTGATATTGCAATTGCTATTTAATCATCTGTACAGACTATGATAAAACCACCTCTTTAGGCAGAAAAATCAAAATGTTTATTGTTCTTACTGTAAAACATCCTTGCTTCTGCCTTGGATAATGTCTCCTTTCTTCCAATCTAAACATCATTTCCTATGTATAGCCCTGTTTATGCATAGATTTTCAGACAATAGTTTGTATTGGCCCAAAATATATTTGTATAATGCTGTTATATCCCCTCTGAGGCACCGTTTTTCTAAACTAAAGATATTAAAATTTGTTAATCTTTCTTTATAACCAAAATGTTCCATTCCTTTTATTAATTTTGTAGCCCACATCTACACTTTTTCTAGTGCCATAATATCCTTCTTTAGAACAGGTGCCCAAAATTGCATTGCATATTCAAGGTGAGGCCTTACGAATGATTTATAAAGATGCAAAATTAAATCACAAGAATTAAATCCCATTTTACACGACAATACCTTAATTGCCTTAGCAACTGCTGATTAACATTGCACATTGTTTCCTAGATTGTTTTCTATGACAATTCCCAAATCCTTCTCGTGTGTTGCCAGGGGCGGGCTGGGACGGGGGGCAGGGAGGCAATTGCCCCCCAGGCCACCCTAAATCCAGGGGCCAGGGCCATCTTTAACAAGGAGCAAATGAGACAGCTGCCCCAGGCCCAGTTACTTCTGGGGGTCCCAAGGCAGCTGCCCCGTGGGCCCCATGCCCACAAACAGCATACTGACAAGCCTGGGATCCTGAGATCCTGGGATCCTGAGAAATGTCCCGGTGGGCTGCCAAACCTGAGGTAATCAGGGGCCTGGACCTTTAATAGTGCTTCGGACTGGGCCCCTATCATTCTGTTTGTTTACCCGTGGCCTGCTGGGAGGAAGTGAGGTCACATCACTTCCTCCCAAGTAACAGAGAGCCTTATGGGAAGGAGGAGGTACACACCGGAAGAGAAGGAAGAAAGGGCTGTGTATATATCCTCAGAGACCCTGATACACACTGACACACAGCAGAATAGAGACTGTTCCCCCTACATAGGGTCACTTGGCAGATATGGATTGACACCTGTTCTCAGAGACCATGATACACACTGACACAGAGCAGGATAGGGACTGTTCCCCCTACATAGGGTCACTTGGGAGGTATGGATTGGCACCTATCCTAAGGATCCCTGATACACACTGACACAGAGCAGAATAGGGACTGTTCCCCCTACATCGGGTCACTTGGCAGATATGGATTGACACCTGTCCTAAGGATCCCTGATACACACTGACACATAGCAGAATAGGGACTGTTACCCCTACATAGGGTCACTTGGCAGATATGGATTGACACCTGTCCTCAGAGCCCCTGATACACACTGACACAGAGCAGAATAGGGACTGTTCCCTCTACATAGGGTCACTTGGCAGATATGAATTGACACCTGTCCTCAGAGACCACGATACACACTGACAGAGAGCAGAATAGAGACTGTTCCCCCTACATAGGGTCACTTGGCAGATATGGATTGACACCTATCCTAAGGATCCCTGATACACACTGACACAGAGCAGAATAGGGACTGTTCCCCCTACATAGGGTGACTTGGCAGATATGGATTGACACCTATCCTCAGGATCCCTGATACACACTGACACAGAGCAAAATAGGGATTGTTCCCCCTACATAGGGTCACTTGGCAGGTATGGATTGACACCTATCCTCAGGATCCCTGATACACACTGACACAGAGCAGAATAGGGACTGTTCCCAATACATAGGGTCACTTGGCAGGTATGGATTGACACCTATCCTCAGGATCCCTGATACACACTGACACAGAGCAGAATAGGGACTGTTCCCAATACATAGGGTCACTTGGCAGGTATGGATTGACACCTATCCTCAGGATCCCTGATACACACTGACACAGAGCAGAATATGGACTGTTCCCAATACATAGGGTCACTTGGCAGGTATGGATTGACACCTATCCTCAGGATCCCTGATACACACTGACACAGAGCAGAATAGGGACTGTTCCCCCTACATAGGGTCACTTGGCAGATATGGATTGACACCTATCCTCAGGATCCCTGATACACAGTGACACAGAGCAGAATAGGGACTGTTCTCCCTACATAGGGTCACTTGGCAGGTGTGGATTGACACCTATCCTAAGGATCCCTGATACACACTGACACAGAGCAGAAGAGGGACTGTTCCTCCTACATAGGGTCACTTGGCAGATATGGATTGACACCTATCCTAAGGATCCCTGATACACAATGACACAGAGCAGAATAGGGACTGTTCCCCCTAAATAGAGTCACTTGGCAGGTATGGATTGACACCTATCCTCAGGATCCCTGATACACAATGACACAGAGCAGAATAGGGACTGTTCCCCCTACATAGGGTGACTTGGCAGATATGGATTGACACCTATCCTAAGGATCCCTGATAAACACTGACACAGAGCAGAATAGGGACTGTTCCCCCTACATAGGGTCACTTGGCAGGTATGGATTGACACCTATCCTAAGGATCCCTGATACACACTGACACAGAGCAGAATAGGGAATATTCACTAAATGCCAAACATTGTTATACAGGGGAATATTCAGTAAATAAGGATAAGGGGGGACCTACTGTCCTCCCCCCCCGGCCCCCACCCCTGCACGGTGGGTGGGGGCCATAAATCTCAATGGGGGGGGACCTACTGTCCTCCCGCCCGCCCCCACCCTTGAGCGGTGGGTGGGGGCCATAAAAATAATGAGGGGGGGGACCTACTGTATGATGATGTATCGATCAGGTAGTGTAAGGGTTACGCCCGCTTCACAGTGACAGACCAAACTCCCCGTTTAACGCACCGCAAACAACCGCAAACAGTCCATTTGCACAACCGCAAACTCCCCATTTGCACAATGTTGGATACCAAGCTAGCCATGTCCCGTTCCTTGTCCTCACTGATGTCATTGAAGGTCTCTTCCTCCACCCAGCCACATACAACACCAAGGGTCCCCAAAAGGTGACAACAAGCCCCCTGGGATGCCTGATGTGTTTGGTCTTCCACCTCCTCAAAGCCACCTTCCTCCTCTGACTCCTCTTCTTCAGACTCCTCTCTCTGCGTTGCCTCTCTCTGCGTTATTATAAGGTGTGTTAAGTAGTATTATTCCTATCAGTTTAATCCATGTTACGTGTATATGGCATCGATTTTAGGAACCGGGAGATGGAAAAAGATGCTTGTTCGGTCCTCCCACTTCAAATTTGGGGCACTGCGCGTGCAATCTAATGTGCCACCAGATAGGAGTGGTGTGTTAAGTAGTACTATTCTTATCAGTTTAATCCCTGTTACGTCCCCTATCCGTTGATGTGGAGCAAGACGCAGCAGCAGAAGAGGACTCAGCTGAGGAGGTTGTGAAAGAGGATGGAGTAGGAGGAGTAGAGGAGGTGGCAGCAGGCCTGCCTGCAAGTCGTGGCGGTGTCACCAACTCCTCTGCAGAGCCACGCATTCCATGCTTGGCAGCCGTCAGCAGGTTTACCCAATGCGCAGTGTAGGGGTGGCCTGCCTCTGCCTGTCATTTTTTTTTGATTAGTGGTACTATGTGTGCAAGCTACTGTGACACCAGATATGAGTGGCACTGTGAACTGGCAGAGGTTGGCAGAGTACACGCTGTAGGCCTGACACACCCGCTTGAAGACAACTAACTGCTATTCAATCTACAACAGTGAAAAAAGTTTTTTTTTTAAAATGCAAGCTATTGTGACACCAGATACGAGTGGCACTGTGAACTGGCAGAGGTTGGCAAAGTACACACTGTAGGGCTGACACACCCGCTTGAAGACAACTAACTGCTATTCAATCTATAACAGTGAAAAAAGTTTTTTGGTTTTTAAATGCACGCTATTGTGACACCAGTGAGTGAGTGGTGGCACTGGGCAAATGGGCACAGTATATGCTGCGAGCCTGACACACAGACGATTGCAGACAACTAACTGCTATTCAATCTATAACAGTGAAAAAAGTTTTTTGGTTTTTAAATGCACGCTATTGTGACACCAGTGAGTGAGTGGTGGCACTGGGCAAGTGGGCACAGTATCCACTGTGAGCCTGACACAGAATCTGGCAGACAGGCAGGCAACTGCAATTACATTACACAAAAAAAAAAAAAGCAGACTGATGTTATAGCCCTAAAAAGGGCTTTTTGGGGTGCTGTCCTTACAGCAGAGATCAGATGAGTCCTTCAGGACTGTAGCGGACACTGTATACACTAACCTAGCTATCCATTTCCCTATCAAATCAATAGCAGCTACACTTTCCCTCCTCTCACTAAGCATGCAGCTTGAGAATGAATCTAAAATGGATGCTGTCCAGTAGGTGGGAGGGTCTGCTAGGGAGGGTGTGCTGCTAATTGGCTGGAATGTGTCTGCTGACTGTGAGGTACAGGGTCAAAGTTTACTCAATGATGACGAATAGGGGGCGGATCGAACCGCGCATATGTTCGCCCGCCGTGGCGAACGCGAACATGCTATGTTCGCCGGAACTATTCGCCAGCGAACCGTTCGGTGCATCACTAATTATAGCTACTGTGCACCGAATATAGCCTAGAATTCATAAGGAAACAGATACTATTAAGTGACACTATTGAACCTGGTGACACTGTTTTTGTATCAAACAGCAAGGTGGATAACCTTTGGTTACAATCATTTCATGATGCAATCGGCATCCAAGCTATTAAATATTACATCTAGTGTTTTCAATACCTTATGTACATCGTATAACGTTTTCTTTTTTTCAAAATGTTTTTTCTTCTTCAATTTTTGCTACACATAGGACCTGAATATCTATAGTTGTAACATTGTGAGTCCTGGTACCAGTTGTTTGTTTTTTCTTCTATATTTGTGCATCAGGGTTATCCACTTATCCCCTTTTTTAACGCAACAGGTGTAGGATATTTTCCATCATTATAGTGAAGTTGTGTGTAGTTTTAAAAATGGAAACTATTATATTATGTACATTTTATATTAATCAGATGAATATGTAATTTCATAATTTTCAACAGTAAATTAAACATTTTTGAAAATATATGAATAAATTATAAAGAAATTTAGGACTATAAGAGACATAATGTCTCAATGACTTTACTTTTCTCAGGTTTAAGTAGCTTTTTGGCATGCTCCTGATGAGCATACTTTAGGAATATACAATGATAAATAAAAAATTAAGTTTTAGATTTAATAACCAAGATTCATTCAATATTTCAAAACCTTATGTCATAGGAGAGGATTGCAAACTCAATGCTATGTAGACCCAGTCATTTGATGTAGCCTGCAAAACTTAACAATATAGTTTGATATGAACAAATTAGGGAATTCAGGCATAATTTTTTCTTCTGTGTAAAATGTGATTCTTTCACTAAAATTTGTGTTTTGGTGTTTTGTGCAACATGAATGAGTGCATGTTGTGAAAAGGTAAGTAAGTAAGGGAGGTAATTTGAGCAAAATGCTTTATTTTTCTTAGTCCACCCATTATACATCGTTGCAGAACTTGTTGGTGCTTTATAAATATTATTAATAATACTACTAACAATAATAGTCTGTTAGCGTGTACCATGGGCGTCCACAGGAAATTTCCGGGGGTGGGAGGGGGGGCTACAACTCCCGTGACAAGTGCGAAATTGATGAAGGGAAGAAGGGGAAGTTGTGTGACAGAAAAGAAAAAACCAACAAGAATGTAATATATATATATATATATATATATATATATATATATTGAAAGCAAGAAGAATTTGTCAGTGATTGCATGTTATAAGTGAAAAAAATGTTAACAATTTAGTATAACCTTGAGAAAACAGAAATGCAATGTTGGTGGGATAAAACTTAACAGCACAATTATTATAGCTTATATATATATATATATATATATATATATATATATATATATATATATATATATATATATATATATATATATATATATATCATCCAATGGTACCCTGCACACACACTTTTAAGTATCAAAAAATGCCGGGTGCAAAAAAGCCATAGCCAATAATTACAAAAAATATACAGAAAATAAGGCTTGCACTCACGGTCTGTAGTAATGATAAAATATTTCTTCTTTATTTGAATATTCTTAAAACATGTCTGTTATCATCGACGTTTCAGCCATCGTTCGTGGCTTTCATCAGGATCAGTTCAAAACAAATAATACATTTACAAACTTCAGCATTTAAATAGCTAAACAGACTAATTATTAAATCTTAAAAAACACTCACCACCTGTGTTACCGATCGCCCGGCGTCTCTCACCATGTTGTGCGCATGCGCGAACACGCCGACACCCGGAAGTGGCGTGCTCGCGTCATCGTCTGTTGCCTGGGTTACCCGCTTTGTTTACAGGCTCCCCGGCAGCACAATAATCTTAGAGAGCGCCCGGACAGATATGAAATGGTAACACACTTAGATTAAAACATCATAACAATATATAAATTTCATCCACAGATATATATGCCAAGGCATGGTATAGGCACACCTCCTACTAAGAATTAGAAGATAATTACAGTGCATAATAATTACAATATATGATATGATTAAGGGGCTACAATATAAAGGTACCCTATCCATCACTTAAACAAAGTATATGGATATTATAGAATAAGAAAGGAAAGAGATAGAGGTGGACTAAATCCACATCACTAATTCCAAGGAAGGGTTACAGAGATATCAAGGGGCATAACCCCACAAAATAATTTAAAAGGATAAGACTAGAGTGAAGTGGTTGTCCCACTAAAGATGGAAAAATGTTGGACATCCACTTCACCAAATGATATCACCAGATAGTTACAATAATTGTTAGGTATAACCTTTATTAAGCCGACTTAGGCAAAACACAAAACAATAAATAATAATAATAAAAATAAAGTAATAGTGAAACACTCGTGGGAAAAACACGTGAAGTAAAAAAGTGGGTAGATGTAGGTTTGGATATCCTCAGTGTATATTGGGGTAATTTTGTATAGCTTCACTGAAAACGCTAGTAACCAGTACAGTAAAGTACCGTATGTGTTCAGTCACATATCACAAAGTTGCTCCCCCTAAAGTCTACAGGGATCTGAAAGTCCCAGCTATGTAGAGGTATATCCAAAATTATTATTTATTTACTAGTGGGGGATGTATATATAGTGATCTAGTCACTTATGCTGGTGGCATTCAATTATTCACTTTGACTCTCTAGCTGATATTTTTCCGTTCTAGCCATAGTCAGTGGCACAACTAGGACTGTTATTATACCTATTTAGACAGTTCAGCTAGTGATCTTCAGCGTTAGGCTGCCTTGAAGCAGCAGTGTGTAGTATTTATAGGAGTTGTGTAGCAGTAGTGTTTAGTATATACATGAGCTGGATTTAGCGAGTGTAGCAATTTTTTGCACATTTAGGTGTCCTTTCGATTTCGATCCCGGGAGGG